CCCCCCTCCACTCCACCCACATCCAACACTCCACCTCCCCCCCACCTCCCCCCACCCCACCCACCACTGCCCCCCACCTCACTACCATCCTCCTCCTGGCCATCCTCCTCCTGGCCTGCCCGGCTGCCGGCCGCAGCCCGCACTCGCCCATGGAACACGCAGCACATGCGGTGGCCGAGGCCTGGGCCATGGCCTCCCGGCCGTACATGACCGAGATCTCTGCCGCATACGCTGCCGCTTCGCGCGTTCTCTCCTCGCCGCAGCCATGGACGCTGCCGGCAGACTCCCGGCCAGTCTCGCCATCGCCTTCTCCTCCGAGAGCCCCGCCTCCACCGGCCTCGCCCGTGCTGCTCACCCGGCCGATGGCTGACGATGTGTATGTCCGTGCCTCCGCTGCCGGGTTGCAAGTCGGCCGCCCCCTAGGCAGTGTTGCCGGCGCTGAGAATGCCCTCGCCGCCGATGCACAGTTTGCGGTCGTCTCGGACTCGCCGGCAGCTGGCAACTACGATCGAGAGTGCTCGTCCGCCGGCTTTGTGGTGCCTCAGCCGCCGCGAAACTCGACTGCCGACGGCGCCGACGACAACGATGAAGTAGAGTGCAACTGCGCTCCTTTCAGGACCGGTGTCACTTGCGCTGAGGACCGTCCCTGGGGCTGCAGCGTCGAGCGGCTCAATCCGCTCCTGGCGTGCGTCCCGCCGTCGCCGGAGCTTGCGGCGCTGCGCGTGTCCGACGATCCGGTGTGCGCGTCGTTCTCGGTAGAGACCGTACTCGATGTCGAGGCCCGGGTCGAGTGCGCGTTTCTGGACGGCCCCTTGGAGGTCAACAATACTCTCCTCGCCGCGTTCAACTACTCGGTCCTTGTCACCGACGGACCGGGCGAAGCGCCAAACACTACCGTGGTCATCTGGGCCCAGCCGGCGAGCTTGCCCTGGGCCTCGCTTGTCCTCGAGCACAAGGTGTACAACCTTAACCGGCTCGCCGCCAGCGCCCAGCTGCAGCTTGCGGCTATTGCTCCGCTGGCTTCCATCGGCAACGTCACCCTCGGCTTCCGCCTCACTATTGCCGACATCCCGCCCGCCTACTACGCAGGCGGCAGGCTCTACACCGAGCTCCGCACCCGCGGCGACGACGTCGACGGCTTTGTCGCCTCGTCGCTCCAGTCGGTCGCCCCGCTCATCATCGACGTCAAGGAGCGCACCGTCGGACCGACAGACGACGGCGAGATGGCCCCGGCCCTGCTCGGCAGCCTCATCGCACTCGGTGTCCTGGGCGGCATAGTCCTCATTGTTGGCGGCATGTACGCCTACTACCTCCGCGAAGCCGCGCTCGCCCGCGAGATCGAGGCCTACCGCTCCGAGGCTGCTGCTCTCAAGCGCCCACCGCTGTAGCGTAGTCTTTACCACCTCACCCCACAAGCCTCTTGACGTACGCCGGCATGTCCGCCGCATCGTCCTCGGTGAGCTCGACAAAGTCGGACGGGAAGAGGCCCTCACGACCGTTGACGATCCCGCGCCACCACTCCTCCGACCGCGTAAACGCAATGTTGGTGATCACAGCGCCGGCCTTGAACGAGACCTCGTCCGGCGACTCGGCCTCAAAGTCGTAGAGTGCCACACCGCGCGCGTTGCCCGAGCCCTTGGCGCCGATCTTGTGCTTGGCCTTGCCGATCGACGAGCTCGCCGCGTCTTCAGACTCTTCCGGTAGGAGTTCGACAAAGCCGGCGGGGAAGATGCCGTCGTTCCGCCCGCACTTGCCGAACCACCACTGCTCGTCGTCGGTAGTAAGCACGTTTTCGATCACGTCGCCCTTGTAGAACGCAAGCTCGTCTGCGGCCTGGGCTGTAAAGTTGAACAGCGCCCGCGCCCGCACGTTTGACTCGGGCACCGCCGGCTTGGCCGGCGCCGGCGCCTCCACCGGTACATCCTCCACAAACGCTTGCGGGAAGATGCCGCGCTTACCCTTGAACGTCCCCTCCATCCACTCCGAGTCGATCTCTACAACGTCGTCGATGATGTCGCCCTGGTCAAACGTGAGCTCGTCCGCAGCCTCGGCCACAAACATGAACTTGGCCTTGACCTTACGCTTCGGCGCAGGCTCACTCCCAGCAGCGGAAGCGCTTCCCGACGACGATGCCGCTGCCGACGCCCCGGCACCGCCGTTGGCGGCGCCGGTAACCGCGCCGCCGCCGGCCTGGCTCCCGGCCCCAGCCTCTACAGCCTCGACCCAGTTCGACGGAAAGATTCCGGTCTTGCCATCATACATCCCACGCATCCACGCCGGATTGGCCGTCGCAACCACATCCGTGATTCGTGCGCCAGCAGGGAACGTCAGCTCGTCGCTCGACTCGGCAAAAAACGCAAACTTGGCCACCATGTCCTGGCCAACAGGGCCGCCGCCACTCCAGGCGCGGGCGTCGCCACCACCGGTTCGGGCTGCGGCTGAGCCTGAGGCTGGGGCTCAAGCTCTGGTGTCGGCAGAGCCTGAGGCTGAGGTTCAGTCTGAGGCTCGGGCTCGGGCTCGGGCTCGGGCACAGGCTGCGGCCGCGACCGCGGGTCAACTGGAGAACTCGCCTCGTCCTCGCGGCTCGGCTCGGTCTCAGGACTCGGCTCGGCCACAGGGCTCGGTACAGGGCTCGGCGCAGGACTGGCCTCGCCGCCGCTGGCAGCGACAGCAGCTGCGGCTGCGCCAACGGCGACGCCGCCCATGACTGCTCCGCCAACGACTGCTCCGCCCGCAACCGCTCCACTGCCTCCTGCGCTCGAGTCGGCCGCACTCGCGCCAGTGCCCACAGGCGGGTCCTTAAGCAGCTTGAGCAGCTCGGAAATCGAAGCGCCCAACTCGGACGCAGCTTGGGTTCGCGGCTGAGTGTCGGCACTCGGGTCGCGCATCAGGGTCTTGCCCGCCACAATCAGCGCCTTGGCCGCAAGCCGCACCTTTTTGGCCAGGTCGAGCGCACGGCTCTGGGCCGATGGCGAGGTCACAAAGGCGCACACCCGCTTCTCGACCAGCCGCGTCAGCTCGAGCGATGCGTTGGTCAACTCGACCGCGTTCTTCACAAACTGACCGGTCCCGTCGCGAACCTTGATCGTCGCCGCTAGCACGGCCTTGCCCTTTCCCTTGATGCGATCAAACTGTGCTTGTGCATCTAGCACACCCTTGAGTGTGCCAGTAAACGTGTTGAGTCGCGCAGCTAGCGCCGTCGATGCCGACGGCTCGCCCTTGGCTGTCTTGATCGACGCCACAATGACGGCCTCGCCCTGCGAGACCATGACCGACACTGCGTTGCGCAGCCCAGCCAGCTCATCGGTCGGAATAGAGTCGGCGCCCACGCCTGCAGGCGGATTCGAGCGGTTGGCAATCTGCTGCTGCAGGAGCGCCACCACGCCCGCCATGTCCGGCCGCAGCTGGATCGCCGCAGCCTTGAGCTCGGCTGACACCGGTGGCCGCGCCAGTGCAGCCTTGGACAGCTTGTTTGTAAGCAGGGCCACGCCCGTTGCCGACGCGTATACCTCGTCGTCCATGTTGACTCCAATCTCTACCGTCGACCAAGCCGTGTACCGTTCCAGCCAGCGTGTGCAAGGCTTGCGAGGTCAGCTGGTGGTCAAGTCAAAAAGCCACCAAAGCGAGTATCAGCTGGCGGATTTGCCCTGGCGGATTTGCCCAGAGCCCACAGGTCAACGAACCGAAGGAGGCTAGAGAAGAGGGCTGTACCAAAACCACTTGGGTGTACACCTCCAACTTGGGCCTCTCTCTCTCTCTGGACACTCTCTGTCTTCTCCCTTCTTCGAACTTGTCTGCACCGGTCGAGGCTGACTGTCTTCCAGTCAAAAAAATGCCCTTCAGACTTTGGTCGGCGACAACAGGTGCCAATCGACGTCGGAGAGGAGGTGGAGGGGGGGGGGGGGGGGGAGGGGGGATGGACGAGACGGGCTTGTTGTGAAAACGCCTGCTCTCGTGCCGGTGCTCTTGCCTTGCCTCGTAGGGATGCCGTGCTCGGGGAGATGCGCTCTGCTCTCTTGCTCCTGCTGCCCTTCCCGAGACGTGTGGTGGTGGGGTGGTCCTGAGAGCAGCAAGGGGGGGGGGGTGGCATCTTCGCCCGAACCGCATGCCCCGCCCGGCCGAACCCTGCAGGGCCAAACTTTCGCTCTTCTCTTCTGAGCACACATACACACTACATTAGGTGAGGATTCAGCCGCGACAGAAGAGCGTCGAGCTCGTGATGGTGGTCGGGGACTACGTCGGCAACAACGGCGGCGTCGAGCTCGAGCTGCGCCGCAGCGATTGGGTGTAGCTCGCTCTCGTTCCCGGCCATGAGCACTGTGACGGTGATGGCCCGGGTGCTGCGGGTGACAAGCCGGTGCGCCGCAAGGCGGAGACAGCCGTTGGCCGGCACCTCGACGACTATGCTTTGGTATACTGTGCGGACTGCGGCCATCGATCCGGCGTACACCGCAGGCCCCGCGATCTGGAGGACGCCGCCCGATCCGTCGGCAGTCGGCAAGAGCTCCACCCGCCAGTTTTCCGCAGCTGCGCTGTCTCTGCTGCTTGCCGCCGCCACAAGCGCACCCAGTTTTGCTTGCGCCGCATGCCGTGCCGCCTTGACCGCCTCGTACGCCGAGCTTTGCGCAGAGAGCAGGCCGAGCGCAATGCGCATCTGCTGCGCCGGCGCCACGTTCGCCGACTCCTTATCGTCGGCTACGTCGGCATCAGCCTCGAGCACTTGCAGCCGCACCAGCGGCTCGAAACCCGGCACACCAGTCACAGCCACAATTCGCAGCTTGCCTCCACCGCCACACACCGGTGCAAGGGCCCGGCGCGGAGCAACGCCACAGACCATCGCCGAGAGCACCGCATCGGTGCGCAAGTCAAAGACCACCACTCGTCCGTCTTCGGCCAGCGTCATCCGCACGACAAAGACCGCGCCGTTGCCGGTCATCACCACCACCGCGCCCGCGGTCGGCGCCAGCGCCACAACCGCTGCCACACCACTTGCCTCGTCATCAAGCCCGAGGCTGCCGTGGACAACCGCGCCCGAGTCGAACGCGACGCACCCGAGGCCATCCGCAGTGAGGGCCAGCGAGCCCAGCGAGGCAGTGCCATCGCCGCACGCAACCTTGACACGCGGCACCATTGCCACAAACGGGCGCGAGCACGGGGCATGGCTTCCAACTACCGGGCTGCGGCGCTCGACGCCGCTCGCCAGCGCGCCCACCAGCGACGCGGCCGCCACTTCCGGATCAGCATGTGCAGTGATATCGCCCAGCGCGACTGTCACCAGCCCGCCGCGAGTCGGCGCAAAGATGAGCGCCGCCTCTGCCTCTGCCACTGGGCAGCCTGCAAGCTCGTCTGGAAGCGGCAACAGAGCCGCTGGCATGAGAGGCCCGACCTCGCTCGATCGCCCACCACGGACAGCTACCACAGCCATCCACTGCGGGCCGATGACTACCACTGCCTCTGTGCGCTCCATCCAGACAAGTGCCAAAGGCCCGGTCGAGCTGCTGCTGTCGCAAACGATATGCCCAGCGCTGACCCAGTGCGGCGCAGCCTCGTAGCTGCCCAGCTCGCACACGAGCTCGTCGGGCGGCAGCCACTCGCTCGGCACCACGCCCCGCTCGGCGGGTTCGCTCGGTCCAGCCCGCCCGGCAACACCGCCAGTCACCGCTCGCTGTCGCTTCGTTAGCAGTGAGTCGCCGAGCTCCGACTCTGGCTGCGACAGCCGCATGAGCGGCCGCTTGATCGGCGTCCGCGGCGAGCTGCCCGAGCTGGCGCTCGGCGCGACAACAGCCGCCGCCGCAGCCGCCGCCAGCTTCTTCACCATAGTCTTGGCCTTTGATCGCTTGTGCGGCACAATCAGAGTCCGCAAAACGAGGGTGCGAGGATCGGCGGATGTGGCGACAAGGAGCGCGACGCGATACGGCGGCGACGGAGACCGGATCCACGCCCACGCCCGCAGCATGCAGCCTGACGGGAGGGTGCACAGCAGCAACGTCTCGCCATCACCGGCGCATACAGCCAGTGTGTGTGTGGTGGCGTGGACAAGCGTGAGACAACCCGCAGCATCGGCACCGGCCATGGTCAGCGGGAGGAGGAGGAGGCCGTCCGGAAAAGGTCGTACTTGGCCGGCCTCACCGGCCACTCGCCAGCGCATAACCAGGAGCGGCGATGCGGGAGGCTGAGGGGAGGAGCGGAGTGGTGGTGATGATGATAGTGGTGGAGTTGGGGTGGGTGAGGTGGAGCTGTGAAGTGCGGTGTGCTCGTGTGGGTGTGGCTGGTGTGTGGGGCGGGCTGGGCGTGGGTGTGGCGCATTCAGGCGATCGGACTCGGCATGAATCAAGGAACGGATGGCGGTGTTACAAGTTTCGACAGGTCTTCGCATCAAGCCTGGCGATGGGCGGGTGCGTGTGTGTGAGAGACAGACAGAGAGAGAGAGAGAGAGAGAGAGTACGCGGGTTGTAGGCATCAGTCGAAGATGGCAGACGAGTTGAACTCGGAGCGGTTGCTCTCGAGAGCAGCGCGGATGGCGTCGGTGACATCGGGGCCATCAGCAGGATGCTCGTAGCTGCACTCAGCGACAACATCATTGGCGTGGAGCGCAGCGAGAAGGGCCTGACCGCACGGGCCGATGTCAAAACCGGCAACATGGATACACCGGAGCGAGGTGGTGGTGTGAACGACGTTGACAAAGGCGGGCGCGTTCTCGGGCCCAAAGTTGTTGTCCCACAGGTCGATGGAGCGGAGGCTGGAGTTGTAGGCGAGGGCGGCAAAGAGCTCGCTGCCGACCTCGTACTTGAGCCCGTTGGAGCGGAGATCGAGGGTAAAGAGCGAGACGTTGGCGCGGAGCGCGGCGGCAAATGCCATGCCGCCGTCGGTCCCGATCAAGTTCCACGCCAGCGAGATGGCCGAGAGCGACGAGTTGGCGGCAACGGCATGGCCAAGTAGCGCCCCGCCGTGCGGGCCGAGCCCGTTCGAGTTGATGTTGCAGTACGAGAGCCGGCAGCTCGGCGAGGCAAGGTAATCGGCGAGCTTGCCGGCGCCCTCGGGGTCGATGGCGTTGCCCTCAAAGTTAAACGACGAGAGCGCAGTCGAGTCCGAGAGCGCGGCCAGGACGACCGTGGCGTCGGATGCCTGGATTTCGCACGTCGAAAGGTTGAGAAGGGCGAGCGACGGCGAGCGCGAGATGAGATCGGCAAGGGCGTCTGCGCCGGCAGGCCCGGTGATCGGATTGCGGGCGAGGCAGAGCGAGTGCAGGGTTGTGTTGTGGCTGACGAGCGACGCCGCAAACCTGGCCATGCCCTGGGCGCTGATGCCTGACCCGCCAAGATCGAGCATGCCGATCGATGAGTTGTGCTGCAGCAGCTTGGCCAGAGCCGCGAGGCCGCGCTTCCCGATCTTGTTCCACGAGCAGTCAAGCTTGGTCACCGAGTTGTTGCCGACGAGGGCGGCGGCCAACGCTGCCATATCCTCAGGCTTGAGCCTGTTCTTGGCCACGTTGATAACCACCGGCTGGTTGTCCTCCTCGCCCAGTGCCTCCACCACCAGCTCGATGCATCGGTTGCCACACAGCTGGCCTGACAGCCGCCACTTGGACGGGTTGGTCAGCTGTGCGGCAATGGCCTCTCGGGTGGCCTCCTGTGTCGGGGACAGGAACGGCTCGACAGGCACAGCCTGCGCCGCCGCAGACACCGACGCTGTCGTCGACCCGCGCCGCCTCTTCTGTCGCTGCCGGGGCATATGAGAGGGAAGGATGTGGTCCTTGTGGCGGAGGGTGGGAGCAGTGGCTGTGTGTGTGTGAGTTTGTGGTCGGTTGCGGGTTTGGCTAACATTGGTTGGTCGGTTTGTTGGTGTTGTTGTTGTTGTTGGGGGGGGGGGGGGGAGGGAACAAGGGGCTTGATATGTGACTTGATTGCTGTCAGAGTAGTGGGGATGGTAGCTGATGATGGGCTGAGGTTGATGGTGCATGTGTGAGAGGGTGTGGCGCGAGAACTTGGGTGGCAGCTTGAGCGGCAGCTGGGCGGCAGCTTGAGCGGCAGCTGTTGATAGCTTGGGCGGCAGCTGGCGGCAGCTGGGCGGCAGCTGGGCGGCAGCTACGACGCGTAAGAAGCTGGGAATCACTCTTGGAAAAAGTAGCGGTTGAAAAAGTCGCGATCAGCCTTCTTGTCCTCCTCGTCCTTGGCCCGCGAGCGCTTGATGATCGGGTCGGAGCGGCGCATGAGCTTACGGCCGATCTTGCGCTTGCCGGACTCGCGCTGGACGCGGTCCTGGTGCTTGGCGCGGCGGGCCTCCCACAGCTGCTCAAGATCAGCCATGTTGCGGTTGCGGTTGGCCTTCTTGCGCACCTTTTTCATCTCCTTTTCTCGCGTATTGACGAGCTTGGGGTCGAGCTCGCGGATCTCGTCCATGAGCGCACGGAGGCTGCGCTCAAAGTTGGTGAGCATGTCGACAGTGCGGAGGTGGAGCTCAGCCGGGCCGCCACCCTTCTCGTCGGGCTCGCGGCAGCACTTGGTGTAGAGCTCACGGACACGCGACTCAAGACGCTGAAGCTGCTGGTCGGCCGACTCTCCGGCAGCGGTGTCGATCTGGAGCGCTGACCGCTCAAAGTGGGCCTTGCGCGACTGGATGGCGGCGATGCGGGCGCGCTCGCGACCGAGGTCCGAGTCGAGCGCGGCGATGCGGCTGGCGAGCTGGTTGATCTCACCGGCCAGACCGTCACGGACCGACGAGTACTTGGAGCGCAGGTGCTCGAGCGCCTCCTCGATCTCCTGCGAGTTGTTGACCAGCGAGAGGTTTGACTTTTCCAGCTCGTGGAAGACAACCAGCAGCTGCTCCGGCGACTCAAAGTACATCGGGATTTCCAGGCCTGACGAAGAAGCCGAGTCAGAAGACGAGCCCGAGTCCGAGCCCGAGTCCGAGTCGTCGAGCGCGAGGCCCGAGTCCGGGCCGGAGCCGGAGCCTGAGCCGGCAGAGTCAAAACCGGGCGCGAGAACGAGCGAGAGCGTGTTGGCTCGCGACCGGCCCTGGATCGTCGACGTTGCCTGCTTGCGGGCGGCGGCGGCGGCTTCCTTGCGGGCGGCGCGCCGGGCGGCACGTGCCTGACGCGCCTCGCGTTTGGCCTCGCGCCTCCGCTGCTGGCGCTCCCGCTTGGCCGCGTACTGCGCAGCCACCCACTCGGGCGGCGCGAGCGAGATGAGAAACTCTTTCAAGACCTGGTACTTGGCAATGACCTCGTCTTGATCCTGAATCCGAGACGTAAAGTCCTTGATCTCCTCGTCGACTGTCCGCAGCTGGGCCTCCTTGGACTCGACAAGTTTGAGCGTCTCGGCCTCCTGCCGCTGGACAGCCTTCACCCGCTCGGTCGAGTACGTGGTGTACTCTTCCCACTTTTGAGCCTCGAGTGCAAGCATTTTGCGCTCGTGCTCAATCCGCGAGTCAGCAGCATGGGCGTGCTCCTCTAGCTTGCGCATCTCGTCGCGCTTGACGCCGAGCGAGAACTCGATGAGAAACATCTCGCGCTTGTTGCGGATCATCTCCCGCAAGTTCTCCTTGCCGGCCTGCTTGCGGATCGACGCCGACGCCTTGGCCACAATGTCGCGGGTTGACTTGGCCTGTACCTCAACCTCTTCTTGCGCCCTCAGCGCCGCCTTTTCTGCCGCCTCGCGCCGTTCCTGCCGCACCCGCGCCCTCTCCTTGGCCTGCTCCGCCGCTCGCAGCGCCGCGATCTTGTCCGCCCGCTTCACCTGCGCCAGCGTGAACACCCCGACATCATCCGGCAATGCAAATGGATTGTCTGCCAGCGCAGCGTCGTCGGACGACGACCCCGAGTCGGACATCGCTCTCATGCTTGACCCCGAGCTGCCCCTCCGGCCTGAACCCTCACGCCGCAGTGTCCGCGCCAGCACAGCCTGCCGGGTCCGTTCTCTGCTTGCCGACGACCTGTTTGGTCGAGAGCTGTACATGGCTAGAAGCACTTGTGTGTATGTACGTGTGCGTCTGTGTGTATGTGTGTGTATGTAGTGGTGTGGTTCTGCTTGTGGATGTGGTGGCGTGGTGGCCGTTGGTCGGCGGCGGCGGAGGCGGCGGCTTGGGTTCGAGAGGCCGCGAGTATTCTCTTTGGGCCACTGGCGGGGCGGGGAGACTTGAGATGTGCACAGAAGAGAGCCATGGCATGTGTAGCGCCTGGTCATGTGTTGATCAGCTTGGAATACCTTGATCTACACTGTCCTTGGTCTTTGTCATGGCGTGATCGAGCTCCTGCTAATCGAGCCATCACCCACCTCTGCATGGACATACGCCAGAGTCCTTGATCGATACCACTTTGGTGCGCATGCGCATGGCCACACACAGTCAAGATCGATTCCCGTGCGGTGGCCTGCTGCGGAACGTGCCCTCCCCCCCCTCCGGGCTGCAGCACTTTGAATGCACCTTTATGCGGCTCTCGGAGTGTGCCCTCACCAGTTTCAATTGGAAGGCGACTCAAGTCAAGGTCGTCTCTCCGCACGCGACCGCGACACAGGCACGGACACAGAAGCACTTGACGTTGACATACACTGCCCAATATCAGATGGCAGATGCGACCGAGCATTGCTCTTTGAGCCTCGGCAGAGTTGTGATTGGAGGTGGCGGCGGAGAGAATGGCGACCAACTCGACGGGACAATGCAGGAGCTGACGAGCTCGTTGGAGGAGAGCATAACCCTGATCGAGGCCATCAAGACGCAGACGACTGAGGCCACGCCGCCAGTAATGGTCAACACTCTCAATACGTTGGAAAAGAATGTAAGAGGTGCAAGAGTGCTGGCTTCGCGCTTGGAGACCCGTGTACCCAGCATCAAGCGGGCCAGGAGCGAGGTTGGGACCGAGGACGCGCCCCCGGCTAAGCGGCAGCAGCTGCTGGACGCATCGGCAAGGGCACAGCCGAGCAGCAACAGCGAGGGCGAGGACGAGCTTCATGCAGATGACGTGATGCAGTTCACCGTGCCGAGCTCGCCACAGTTGATGAAGGGCGTGCGCAACAGCTCGATGGCCGACATCCTTGGCGCTGGCGTCCTCGCGCCACCCTCGGCTTTGCCGCCCGACGCAAATACTCTGGACGAACTTGCCGCCAAGACGCTGCGCTGGATCAAGGCTGCCAATCCCGACTCGGATGTGACTGCGAACGAGATCCGGACCTTTCACGTCACCACCAATGCGCTTGGCGCGCATGTGGCCGAGGGCGGCCGCGAGCGGATCACCATCGGCATGAAAGCCTATCTCCTCGAAATGGAGAACGTCATCGACGACCCGCGCACCATCGCCTGGCTCGGCAATGTTGCCTTTGCCACCCACAAGCTTCGTCCGGATCGTATCCGCAAAGTCCAATCTCGCTCGCCCAAGCAGGACCGGATCCAGCCAGCAGCGGAGCTCATCGAGGCGTCAAACCCGCCGATGTCGCCGCAGCGCCTCTCTCCGATGCCTCCGCAGCCCTTCTCCACCTGAGTCTACTGTAGCCCACTTGGTGAATACCCCCCCCCCGTCTCAGCCCCAGCCTTTTTCTCTCTCTCCCCGTGGCGAGGGCACACAAAAGTAGGTCGCAGCAGTGCGACTCGGTCCGCCGTGGCGATTTTGAACGGAATGCGCCAAGCGGCACACTTTGCTGAGCTCAAGGTGAGAAGCACTGCTCTCGCCTTTGCAACACCACTCGCATCGGGTACAACCACCGATCCACGCACTCCATTGGCAGAGGACATGGCCTTTGTGATGCCCTCGCTGGGCGCAGGTCGCGCACATGAGGTCGCTGCGGCAAGTGCGGTTGCGACAGAGGTAGCGGTGGGCTCGGCTACATCAGCGGACACACACGGAGAACCACATGCAACTCGAGTTGCGACAGGAAAGCGCAAGGCGGATGAAGAGGCTGAGGTGCGCGGAGGGGAGAAGCGGTCAAAGGCCCTGGACGGATCGGTCCGACTGGGCGCCCCTGTCGATGGAGCCTCGGCGCCTGGCAGAACCGCAGCAGCTGCGGCAACCGCAGCGCCTGTCGCGGAGGCCATCCCGGTCCAGCAGATTCGACACGATACCGCGATTTGGCGGGCAGCGCTGGGAGATCTGTTGCAGATGGACGAGCCGGAGATGGAGGACATCGACACATGGGCGGCCAGCGTTGTCGCACGGGAGTCGACCAAGCGGACCATCGAGTCACTGAGGCTCGCATGGAAGGCAACATGTCTTTGTCAAGGCTATGGATCGCTGCTCATGACAACCAGGGCAGCGGCGGCAGCAGCAACGGAAGCATCGACGGCGCATGTGGGCTACACGCCTCTGCCTCCGAGTGCTTCACCGCTCGAGACAAAGCCGCTTGCCTCAATGCCCGATGAAAGCCCGATGAAAGGCCGAGCCCGGCCGAGCACCGAGCGACTCAGAAGACCAAGGACGGTCGGCGGCTGCGGCCGTCGCAGAGAGAGTTTAATGCTGCGACCCGAGCTGTCATCGTCTCTGCTAGACTACTCAAGCGCGAGAGGACGTGGTCGCTCAGCAGCGCCGACATCCAGGACATTCTGGCCAACACCGACGAGTACTACCGCAACTTTCTCCAAAACCACTACCATGGCTCCGAGATCATCAAGCCCGTTCAGAAGATGATTCGCAAGCACCAGATCCGGAACTTTCGGTTTGCCGGCAAGAGCACCGACTTGGCCGTCCGCAGCTACTTTCAGCAACACGCCGAACGCATCGCGTCTGGCGTGACGAAACTACCGCGGGCGGCCATGCCCTCTGGGTTTAACGACAAGTTCCTGCCCACTGTCGGCTGTGTCAATCGCAAGCACCTGCTGCGTCTCGCGAAAGAGTACCTGAAGAGCTCACGGAATGCGCCCGCTCCAACAGAGACACCAGCTGCAGCGGCAGACGTCGGCGAGAGGCCACACCAAGCTGGAGCCGAAGCTGGAGCATGAACGGCCATTCACTGGCGTGAGATAGCCCGCGCTCGCATAAACACCGCGTCCGTGCTGGGCCTGACAAGCGGCGTTGCGACAGCCGATCTCGTCCCGCCGCTATCGAGCGACTCGTCGGCTGGCGCCGCCTTGAGAGCGGTGGCGACAGCGGGCGTCATCAGCGGGAGCGAAAGCGCACGCGCAAAGATAGAGAGGCACGCCACAGCGTTGCCAGCCTGATCAAAGTCGAGTGTCTCGGCAGCGGTGTTGATCACACCTGCCGCAGTGTCTAGCACAAACAGCAGGTCGCGCATAACGAGGCCGTAGCACGGCAGCGTGCCAAGCGCCTGCCAGATGCCGGCATCGACGGCGTCCCGCCTTGATTCGCCGGCATCCATCATCTCGCGAGCAACTGCTGCAGCTTTGGCGGCGCGCTCGGACTCGACGCCGACATCGACCAGCTGCCGAAATATGCCCTTGGGCAGGGTGATGGCATCGACAGCTGCCGAAAGCTCCGAACACGTCGCCGCCACTGCCAGCATCGACCGCGCGTCGAGAAGCTGCAAAATCGCGACACGCAGCTCGGCCGGAAGCTCCAGTAGGAGGCATGGCTTCGACTCCTGGCAGCCGGCATTGCCACCGTCTACGATTGGCCAGGGCGCCAGGAGCCGCCGATTGAGTATCCGCAGTGACGAGGCGATAGCCAGCGAGTCTGGCATGCGCAGCGCAGCGCGGAGCCGGCGCGAGCCCGACGGACCGACTAGCTCGCTGAGGCGGGCATAGCCCGGGATGGACGGCAGAACAGCGCGCACCAGGGTGGCAATCGAGGCGTCGTGAAGTGAGGCCAGAATCGGGCCCATAACACCAAAGGCGAGCATGTCGGCAGCGGCGACAGCAACGGCTACCCACCGCGTGGTGTGGGCGACGATCGTGGCGGGCGAGGCGACGATCGAGCCCAACACGAGGCTCCAGAGCGCAGCGACCCACGCGATAAACGGCGAGGGTTCCGATGAGAGCATGCGGAACGACCGCTGCTCAACCAGCACTTGGCGGGCGGTAAAGGCGGCGAGACCGGCTTGAAAGGCAAGCGCAAGCGCGTGCGCGACCAAGACCGGCGAGTAACGTTCGTCCATGAGCGGATGCAGCGCAAAGTGGTCCCACACCACGTCGTCGTCGTCGCCGTCACCCGACACGGCACGTCCAAGATCGCGAGCAGCGATCCACAGCGCAACCGGCAGACGAGCAGCCGGCGCGAGGGTGCGGGCTCGGGCAGCGTCGATCCTGCGCCGTGCTGCCGGACGTGCCTCGGGCAGCAGCCAGCCGGCGGCCGGCAGCAGCGGCTCGTTGATCGCAGCGCGGAGGAGGGCGAGAGCAGGCGAGTCTCGGCGAGCGAGACGGCCAAGGCTCGGCCCAGCCGCAGCGGTCGGACCATCGCCATCGCCATCTCCATCCTCACCGAGGATCGCCGGCAAGAGCGCCGGATCAAAGTGCGGAAAGATGAGAGTGAGGGCGTCGGGCCAGGCCTCGCCAAGCTGATGGGCGAGGTGGCCCAAGTCGGCGTGTGGGTCATGGAGCAGGTCGTGGACTCGACGCGGAGGGACATGGACTCGGTGGATGGCTCCGACCATAAAGTCGGTCATGGCTGGCCTTCGCTCGGTGCGGAACGAGTGACGAGGACACGTGTGGCCGATGCCCAGGCCAACCACCCATGCCAAGCCCAGCAACGACCAGGCGGCGCCTGGTCGTCGGTGACAGGCACCGCCAGAGCTCGATCGAGGCGGCAGCCACCTCCACCGCCGCCACATCAGCGCCTACCGATGATGCGATGTCTGAGAGTATGGACATGCATGACGGCGGCGCCAGTAGGAGTCGATCGGTCAAATGATGGCGGTGACGGTGAGGATGGCGATGATGGTGGAGGCCACGATGGCCAAGGATGACGAGTGGTAGGATGATGTCAGCAAGTCATGCCAAAGCATGGCACGATTGAGCCACTGCCAGGCAATCAATGAAAGGCCAATCACAGCCAGGTGGCGGAGTGCGAGTGCTGACGTGGACATGATGAGCAGTGGCGGCGTTGAGCAGAGTTGGCGAGTCGCGTTGAGTAGGGATGGCAGGGCATAAAATGAGCCATCCATCCACATCCACTTCGCCCCACGACGGGAGACACCCCCTGACTGTATTATCACAGACACCCAACACATCAACATGGCTTCGAACGACAAGCTCCCGTACAAGGTCGCCGACATCTCCCTTGCTGCCTGGGGCCGCAAGGAGATCGAGATGGCTGAGAACGAGATGCCCGGCCTCATGGCGCTCCGTGAGAAGTACGGCGCTGACAAGCCGCTCGCTGGCTCGCGCATTGCTGGCTGCCTGCACATGACCATCCAGACTGCCGTCCTCATCGAGACGCTGACTGCCCTCGGTGCCGAGGTCCAGTGGTCGTCGTGCAACATCTACTCGACCCAGGACCAGGCCGCTGCTGCCATTGCCGAGACCGGCGTCCCGGTGTACGCGTGGAAGGGCGAGACCGAGGAGGAGTACGTGTGGTGCATCGAGCAGACCCTGTTCTTCGCCGACGGCCAGCCGCTCAACATGATCCTCGACGACGGTGGTGACCTCACCAACATTGTCCACGAGAAGTACCCGCAGCTGCTTGAGGGCATCCGCGGCCTCTCGGAGGAGACCACCACGGGCGTCCACAACCTCGAGAAGATGCTCAAGGCTGGCAAGCTTAAGGTTCCGGCCTTCAACGTCAACGACTCGGTCACCAAGTCCAAGTTCGACAACCTCTACGGCTGCCGCGAGTCGCTCATTGACGGCATCAAGCGCGCCACCGATGTTATGGTGTCGGGCAAGGTTGGCGTCGTCGCCGGCTACGGTGACGTCGGCAAGGGCTGCGCCGCCGCCCTCAAGGTCAACGGTGCTCGCGTCATCGTTGTCGAGATCGACCCCATCTGCGCCCTGCAGGCGATGATGGAGGGCTTCGAGGTCGCCACCATGGACGACGCCGTCGAGGAGGGCCACATCTTTGTGACCGCCACCGGCTGCCGCGACGTCATCACCGGCGAGCACTTTGAGCGCATGCGCGAGGACGCCATTGTTTGCAACATCGGCCACTTTGACCTCGAGATCGACGTCGCCTACGTCAAGAAGGAGGCTGTCTCGCACGTCAACATCAAGCCGCAGGTCGACCGCTACCTCCTCAAGTCGGGCAAGCACGTCATCATCCTTGCCGACGGCCGCCTTGTCAACCTCGGCTGCGGCACTGGCCACCCGTCCTTTGTCATGTCCTGCTCGTTCTCGAACCAGGTCCTCGCCCAGATCGAGCTCTGGTCGAACCCCGGCAAGTACGAGGTCGGCGTCTTCCTCATCCCCAAGATCCTCGACGAGGAGGTTGCCCGCGTTCACGTTGAGGCTCTCGGCGGCAAGCTGGCTGTCCTCTCGGATGCCCAGTACGAGTACCTCGGCATGGAGAAGGAGGGCCCGACCAAGGGCCCGAACTACCGCTACTAAGCTCCCTCCCTCCTCCCCCCACTCCTCCTTTGTGTCTGGGGGCTTTGGAGCCTTGGCGCCTTTGCGGAATCGGCATTATTTGTTGTAAAACACACGCCCATAGCACCCATCAAGCCCCCCATCACCATCCACCACCTGCCGATCCAGTCTGCCCGAGCCGTGACCAAGCGAACTCGCCGAGCCGCTGTCACCCTCGCGAGTCGGCCGAGCCAAGGCTACAGGTCCTCCCACCCTCACCCCCCCCTCCCCCCTCCTCCATCATGCAGCCTCACCCCCACCCCCTCCCTCCTCCTCCTCCTCCTCCTCCTCTCGGCTACCTTCGCTGCTGCGGCCCCCGTCTCGGTCAGCCTGTCGACCGCAGCAGCGGCGGCAGGCAGCAGTCACGGCAGCAACCGGCGGACGGCACTCCCGTGGGCGACAGCAGACGGATCAGCCATCAGCCCTCGTGAGGCGAACATTCCGCTCATCAATGACTACGATCTGTACTACACTGGCAAGATCCAGGTGGCCGGGCGGAGCTTCGAGGTCATCTTTGATACCGGCTCGTCCAACATGTGGCTGATGTCGGCGGCGTGCCCGGACTGCCGCGATCCCGACGTGCCGTCGGTCTACTATCCGGTGGGCGGCGGGAAGCCTGCGCCAATACATCCGTCTCCGGGCTATGCTGATGCTACTCTGGTCATCGACTACGGCTCGGGCTCGGTCGTTGGCGCTGTGGTCTACGACGACGTTACTCTTGGGGTTCGGTGACTGCCGACGACGTGCCGTTTCTGGCTGTCTCGGCCGCCATGGGCTTTAGCTCGACGACCATGAACGGCCTCATCGGCATGGGCTTTCCCGCTCTCGCCGCAGGTCGTGTGCCGACCTTCCTCGAGACGCTGGCGGCCTCGCACGCGCTCGACGCCAACTCGTTTGCGTTTTACATCTCAAGCGAGGGCACCCAAGGCGAGCTGACTCTCGGCGGCGTCAACAACGCCCTCTTTGTTGCGCCGCTCTTCTACGTCCCACTAGAGGCGCAAACATACTGGCAGATTGCCGTCGACTCGTTTGCCATCATCTCCGCCACCGGCACGTCGACCGTCTACACCACCGGGAAGACGTCAGCCATCGTCGACTCGGGCACCTCGATGCTCCTTGTCCCCTATGACATTGGCGGCCACATTGTGGCGGCCATCGGGTACATCGACGCAAACTGCTCGCGCATTGACTACGCGAGCAAGCCGGACCTTGTCTTTACCCTCGGCGGCCACTCGTTCGCCCTGAGTCCGCACGACTACATCGTCCAAGTCAATGGCGAGTGCCAGCGCGGCATCGACGGCCAGGCCCCCGGCATGGCCATCGACTGGACCCTGGGCTGCACTTTTATGCGTGCCTTTTACACCCAGTTTGATGTCGATGGCGCCCGCGTTGGCTTTGCCCGCGCCAAGTCACCGGCCTGACTTCTTCAGGCCGCGCCGGCAAAGACCGCCAGCACCTCGTCCACAAACTGTGCCGAGACTCGCGCCAACCCATACCGGCCACGGCTGTCCATACCCCAGGTCATGGCCTGCAGCATGAAGTCGACGCGGCTGTTCATGGCGTCGACGATCGCGTGCACTTCTTTTGCTGCCAAGACCGCGACCGCCGTCTCTCGGGCAGCCTCCATCGCCGCCGCCACTCCCGCCACCAGCGCCCCGTCGCACTTGGCTCCGTACGCCGCGTCGAGCCAGACAAAGACCCGCCGCAGCTCGGGCGCAACGTCGAGGCCGGCCCCGCCGTTGACAGCAGCAAGCTCACCAAGTAGCGCACGCACCCGATCCAGATACAGCACCGCCTCGGGCGTGCCGGGCTCGAGTGAGCTCATGCTGTTGTCGATGGCGACCAGCCGGTCTCCAGTGCCGACGAGCATGTTCCCGGCGTTTCCGCCGTGATCCATCAGAAGTGGGCTTCGGTCGGCGTTGCGAACAAGCACGTCGAACATGAGTATGGCGCCAAGGTCGGCGACGGCGTCAGGGCTTCTCTGCAGCACATCGGCGACGCCCGATGTCGTCGGCACCACGTACTCGGCCAGGGTCAGCATCGGGTGACGGAGGAGGCGTACCACACTTGACGATGGCATGCCGACACTTGTGTTGGCGTCAGTCCGCTTGAGCGCTGCCGCCAGCTGAGCTCGCTCGGCATCGACATGCAGCGCCACGAGTCTCGTCGCGGGCGCATTAAGGCCGACCATCTCGCCAATCTTGGCCGCCACCGCATCGGCCGCCACCGATCCGCTCGCCTTGACCACTGCCACGCCGTCGCCGCCAAAGCCAACAAACACCACCCCTCCAGACCCCTCCTCCGACACTCGCCAGCCATCGACTTGCTCCCACGCCAGCTCCCCATCTCCGATCGCCACCGCCTGGCCCTCCTCGCCGACCGGCACCCGCCACAGCTCCTCGCCGCTGGCTCGCGCCGCCACAACCTGCCGCCGCGGCACCCCAGATCCTTCCATAGGCAGAGGAGGAGGAGGAGGAGGAGGCGCCGCTCTTTCGCTTCCGCCACTCGCTTGCACCTCGCATCGGACGTCGGCCATGACCGCCGGCCGATGTGTCGAGTCGAGTGATGCCGTCCGAGCGTGGAGATGCAGGCTTCCATTGCCTCGGTAGCCGGCAACTCGTCCTGATCGGACCCCCCCCCCTCCCCCCCTCCCCCGCCCTCCCACCACCACCACCGCCATCACCTCGTCATACCCCCCCCCCCCTCCCCTACCCCCCCTACCAACTACAATGTGATTGCTACCCATTCCCCCTGCACCATCCTTGTACCTCTCACCCACAGCCCGTGGCTGACGGCAGGGTCTGTTGACAGTCGTCGCCGTTCGACAGACGGCACCACCTGTCGCGGATGTCCGACTCAGCGCCCTCACCCGCTCCCGCTGCTGCTGCTTCGGCTGCTCCGGCACCGACCGAGGCTGCCGCTGCTGCGCCTGCTGCTACTCCCGAGCAGGCACCCGAGGCATATGTCGACCCTCTCCCGCACTGCGGCGGGTTTGAAGAGTACTCCCGCGAGGCCATGCGTACGTGTCCCCCCTTCCCCTCCCTCCTCCTCCCCCCTCTCTTCCCCATCGCCTTCATCTCCTCCGTCGCCTCGCTCTCCGTCGCCGTGACCATGCCACCACCGGCCGGCCAAAAATCGTCATGAAGCGCACCTTCTTCTTGCCCCCCCACCAACGCACCATGTTCATGACAGAGACGAGTAGCAGTGTAGAGGTGCGGTGGGAGATGTTCAAGGCGTGTGCCGAGTATGGGCATCGTGGGTGGTTGCGTCCGTGTGTGGGAGGCCGTAGTGGGTGCGGGTGGACCGGCGGGATGGATGGGCATCCCAGGAGGGTGAGGGCGACGCGCTGGCGAGCCAGTGACTGACGGGGATGGGCATGGGTGCGGACATTGTGTGGCTGTACCACTATGTGCTCGGGCGGTGTGTAGGGATCTTCCCGATGGCGGAGCTGTTTGACGGCGCGCGGCTGGAGCTGAAGAAGCCGATCAACATGGCGCCGCAGTTTGTGACCTCGCACACGGTGGTCATGGGTCAGACGACCGGCGGCGGGGCCGAGGACGGTTCGGAGCAGTACATGTTTGGGGCGTCGTACGTGTCGCAGGACGGGTCGATGGCGCTCATCTCCAAGATGGATACTATGGGCATTCTCCGCGCACACATCATCAAGCAGTGGTCGCCGGCCTTTGTGTCCAAGATCCAGGGCCGCGTGTCGTCCACGCCGGGTGAGACGGTCCTCAACATCGATCTCGACCACAAGGGTGACGACTACGCCGCGCAGTTTAAGCTCGTCAACGACCAGGCGCTGTTCTTCAACTACATGCAGAAGGTTACTCCCGAGCTCGCCTTTGGCGCGCAGCTCGACTACTACCGCGCCCGCATGCACTCGATCATCTCGATCGCCGCCCGCTACGCCACCATGAATTGGGTCGCCACCGCCAAGGCCAACTCGGACAACGCCCTTACCGTCAACTACATGCACAAGGTCAACGACTCGTTCTCCATGGCCACCCAGCTCGACTTTAACGCCAACTCGCGCGACTCGTCGTTCAAGGTCGGCTACGAGTACCTGCTGCAGTCCGGCAAGTTCCGCGGCCAGGTCGACTCGGCCGGCAAGATCGGCATGTGCGTCCAGGAGTCGCTCATCTTTGGCATCATGCTCCAGCTCTGTGGCATCGTCGACCACAAGAAGCAGGTCTTCAAGTTTGGCATCGGCCTCACCATCGGCGGTTAAACGACCCCCTCTCCTCTCCCCCTTCCAGACTTCAGCCCTTGAACAGCAGCTTGTTCGGCGAGTGCGCGGCATGCATTGCCGCCGCACGCCGTGCCGCGCGCCGCTCTCGCATCCGCCCGCGATGCTGCGACTCGTAGCCATCGAGCAGCCGCCGGAACCGCTGGGTGTTGGCGTCCGCCCGGGCGAGCGCAGGCGAGAGGACCGGCGCGGCCGCTGGCGATAGCTCGTGTGCTTCTCGTGGCGGCGAGCCGAGCGCCACTGCCCGCCGCGCCCGCACCGTTGCCAATGGCGACGCTCGCGGCTCCTGTGGCCGCGGCGGCGGGCTCGACGTCACCGACAGCCGCCGCCCGCGACGCCGCGGCGAGGTGCCGAGGCCGGAAGCAGCCATTGTCCTCCCACTACTGGTGCCATCTGTGCCGAGCGCGGTGATGAACGCCTCGACGCTCGACACGTCGACGCTCATGTCGTCCAACGTGGCGTTCAGTGCCGCCGTCGATCCACCGTGGCATGCGTCGCCTGCGTCCTCGGCCAGCTCACACAGGTACGCCTTGAGATCCTCGGCCCGCCCGGCCACATCGCTGCCGTACAGCGCCAGCACCCGATGCGGACCAGGGGCTTCAGAAGCTGCCGCGATCTCGGCGTCAAGCTCCCGTAGATCCTCCATCTTGCCTGCCACTTCTTCAGCGAGCACCTCTAGCGAGGCTAGGTGCTCGGCGCGGGCGCCGGCGAGCCGGTTCAGCGCTGCCGCCTGCGCCTTGTCAACCGCGGCACGAAGCCGATCAAAGCCAGCCGCAAGCTCGGCCTCGGCCTGTTCAAAAGCACTCGCATGATCAGTGGCCCTCGCGCGGAGGCCATCGACTAGCGACTGGCCACCGCCGAGAGCAAGGCGGATGGAGGCAGCAGAAGCATCGATCTGCGGGCGAATGGCAGCAGCAGCGTCGGCAACGAGCGCCACAGCGTGCGCCGCATGAACGCCATGCACCACACACTCGGAGCAGACCGCAGTCTGCGATGGACAGCTCATGCAGTAGTAGGTGCCATCAAGGTGCGGATGAGCCGGACACGGGCCGGAGCCATCGCCTGTAGCCGCCCCTGCCGCCACTCCCATCACCGCCGCCATTGCCGCCGCCACCGATGATCCCCCTGCCGGGCCACCGCTCGAGCTCTCTGTCTTGTCCATCGGCCCCCACCGCCAGGTTTGAGTCCGGGAATGGCTGTCCGCACATGGGCAGTCATCAGCCGCGATGACGGCGGGTGCAGGGCCGAGTCGCAGGCGAGGCAGAGCGCGCCACCACACGAGCCGCACACCACACAGGCAGCAGCAGCCTCGCACGACTCGCACACCGGCCGCAGCCCGTCGTGCTCCACCGTGTCGCCCATTCACCGTCGACCGAGAGAAATGCTAGCAGAGGCGGGCTGTGCGGCGGGCTGTGCGGCAGGGAGGTGGCGGTGGTCAGGCCGAGGCGTATCGGAGTGGAAAAGGGGAGAGAGGGGGATGGGGATTGCTGGTGGCGGACGTAGATAGCGTGTGTTGGATACCGGGTGTGGATGGATGTGATGGCTAATGGCGGCCATGGCATGGCTAGCGGAGGAGGAGCAGGCGCGCAGAGCTCTCATTAGCCAAAGGCGGCGTCAAACTTGGTGGCAAAGGCCGGGTCGACATGGCCGATCTGAACAACACCGCCCATTGGCTGGGAAGCTGGCTGTGAGTCTGGCAGCGGCGAGGGCGCAAAGACCGACGGCGACGGCCGCGATGATGGCGGTGTGAGCTCATTGTCCGAGCTGAGGCCTCCATCCGAGTCGGAGAGGCAGAACGACGACGGTGGGGACGACGAGTAGTTGCAAGCGGTGGCAAGGAGTTGTGAGTCCGACTCGTCGAGCGTCCGCGAGTTGGGCCACGAGTCGATGGGAATCGAGGTGGCAAGCGACGACGCGCCGCCGTCGACCGAGCCGCGCCGCGGCGATTCGACGTCGAGCCGTTCCAACTCGGGGCGGCGCGGGGCAGGCAGGTCGGGCAGAGGTGCGGGCTGGGGCGCGGGCGCGGGCGCTGCAAACGCCGACGCCAGCTCGGCCGCGCCCATGTTGCCGAATGCTGACGCCAGCTCGGCAAGGCCGCTGTTCGGGCGGCTTGCGGCTTGCGGCGGCGGCGCGGCTTGGGCAACGGGCGCGAGCTCAAGTGAGAGGACGCCAAAGTCGGGCGAGGCCGAGAGCCTGGCGCCGTGGTCGGACGATGCAGCGCTGGCGGCGGTGGTCGATCTGCGCTGGGTGCTGCCGCCAAGAAGCCGGGCCGACGCGATGCCAATGGGGTAGAACTGGGTAGGAAGCGAAGCAATGCCGCCAAACTTGGCGAGCAGCGTGGCATGCTGCTCGCGGAGCCAGGCAAGGTCGCGCGGTGAGAGGCCAAAGCCGCCTGCGGCATCAAGGCGCCTGGCAAGCTCGGCACGAGCGCTGTACGCCTCGTCGAGCAGACTCAGCACAGGCGCAAGGAGCCAGTACAGCCGGAGCCCTGGATCGGCACTGGCCATGTGCAGAAACTCGTAGACCTGGATCCGTAGCGGGTCGCCGGACCGCAGCGCAAGCTTGGCCAGCGCCAGGGCCGCCAGGCGGGCACCTTCGCGGTCGGCGGTGGCCACCGCGTGCTCGAGCCGGGCCACCACAGCGCGCATCGCAGGCGACGACGTCGCCGTCGGTGCCTCGTCGAGAAGCGCAGCGTCGAGCGAGGCCGTTTGCTCCTGCCGCTCGCCGATGAGGTAGTTGGCGTGCTCACCAAGCCACCAGAAGAGAGCAGCATGAAGCCTGCAGAGGGCGGCACCAGCCCGCGGCCCGCTGCGACGCGGGAGGTCGAGCATACCGAACACTGCGCTCAGAGCTGCCTCCTTGTACTCGGACCGCGCCGCCTTGGTGGCGCCGACCCGGATGAGTTTGCGCAAAAAGTTGACAATCATGTCCGGATCGACACTCTCCGGCAGCTCGCGAGCCCAGGTGGCAATGAGCGCGAGCGCAGGCGCGGCAAGAGCCGGCGCAATGAGCACCCGTGACGCCAGCGAGGTAAAAACCTTAGCCAGGAGGCGGGCGCTCAGCGCGCGCGCACTCAAGGCGGCCTCAAAGGCAAGGACAACGTGGCGGGCCTCGCACGCACCCGGCGCGCACCACACCAGTGCAGAGAGCGCGGCGGCAGATACAAAAGCGGCGCGCGAGCCAGCTAGCGCCCGCACCCGAGCCGCCACCGACGTCAGCGCAGATACTGCGGTCGGGCTCTCCAGCCGCCGTGCCGTCGCCTCGACTACTCGCAGCACACGGTGCTGCTGGACCCGGCAGTTGGTGGCGAGGAGAAGCGCCAGCCGCTCGACTATAAACGAGTCAAGCGAAAGGCCGGCCGCAGCGGCGTCGCTCACAATCGCCACGGCGTCGCGCAGCGCAGGCAGTGGATCGCTCGAGCTTGTCGGGACCGGGAGCTCAGGCGGGCGGAGCACCTTGGTCCCAGCAAGACTGGTTTGCGGCAGCGAGACGAGCGCGTCGACAGCGGCAACGGCAACCATGGGCACGGCATCGGCGGCCAGGACCAGAAGCGTCCGCAAGACATCGGGCATGTGGGGGTCGTCGACCTCACTCAGCAGAGGATGCAGCAGCCGGACAAGTGCTCGGCGCGTCAGCGGGCCGCCCGGCGACTCGGGCTGCGCAAGCATCTTACCCTGCAGAAACCGCTGCATGGAGCCAAGGAGCGCGCTAGGCGAGCTCTGGGCAAACGGCCGGAGCGCGTGCAGCGAAGCGCGGATGACGTCGGGCGAGTCGGAGGCGAGGCCGGCAACCAGCGGCGGGTAGCCCTCGATGGCCCGCGGAAAGACAAGGCCCAGAGCGGTAAATGCATGTGCCTGCAGCAGTGCCGGCTCAAGCTTGGACGACCGCCCAAACATGTGCCGTAGCCGGGAACCCTTCTTCTGCGACCGGTCGTCGAGCGAGCCAACGAGGCCAACAAGCCACGAGAGGAACTGCGGCGCATGGCCCTCGACTAAGACACGCATCGAGTCCGAGACTCGGGAGCGTGCAGAGATCGGCAGTCGGCCGCCATGGGCGCCGAGGATGACAAGCTCCTCCAGCTCGGCCGCAAAGTGTGCGGCGTCATCGGGTGCTACGCCGTCGAGTGCCGATGCCAGAAGGGCCGACGCATTGTCTGCTATCTCAATCCGCCGCTGCAGCGAGCGCAGGACCGAAGTGGTCATGCGGATGCCCCACAGCCGGCGGGTTAGACTCGGCGCGTCAAGCTCGGCAACAGCAGTGCGGATGAGCGAGGCCAGCAGCTGCATCGAGCTCAGCTGCCGAGCCAACGGCGGCAGCAGCGCATAGAGGGCGCGGAGTGCCTTTTTGTCCGACACAGCCGCCAGAGCCGCCACCACCGCCGCGGCAAACCGCGGCGTCTCCACCACAATTTCCGGGTACATCAGCCCGCCCTTGAGCGCGGCGTTGATCTTCGACGAGCCAAGCCGCTTGAGCGCCTCGTCGTCCGCGAGAGCGATGGGAATGGCTGAAACGGCCACGGCATCGGCGCCCGACGCATCAACCTCTGCCAAACTCCCACCAGCTGTCATTTCTCCACGATCAGCCTTTCCACCTCCCTGGGCCTCGCCAGTACCGCCGCCGTCAACATCACCACCACCTCGTCCGTGGTCAGAGCCGTGGGCGAGTCCGAGACCAGCAACAGGCACCGCACCGAGCGTGCCCAGCTGAGATGCAGACGACACGGCATCACTGCCCCCCACCGAGGACTGAGCAGACGATAGGGTAGCCTGCGCATGGGAGTGTCCCACCGATACACCGCCAGCCGAGGCCAGAGCAGACGGAGAGCTCGACTCTACCAGGAGAGCATCGGACAGCTCCAGCAGGTGGAAGCGGGCAGCATTGGCCGAGACCGGCAGGCGGCCTGCGAGGTACTGGTTGGTCTGCCGTAGGCCCCCGTCCTCTCCGCGGGACATACTGCGTGTGTATGTGTAGGAAGGGAGGGGTGCGGGGGTAGAGTGGTGTGTGTGTGTGTGTGTGTGTGTGTGTGTGTGTGTGTGTGTGTGTGTGTGTGTGTGTGTGTGTGTGTGTGTGTGTGTGTGTGGTGGGGTGGTGTGGGCTGAGGCTCGGGCTGGGGCTGGGGCTGGAGATCGAGGGGATGGAGAGGGGGGATAAGGGAAGGGCTTGAAGATGTGTGTTGGATGTGGTGTGATTTAGGTGGCGGTGATGCGGGGGGTGTTGCGTACCCTTGCTGGTACCGGAACGGATGTGGTATCTGTGGCAAAAGCCCCATGATCGTACTGATCTCTCCGCCCCCGATATCAAAGCCCTCGAAGCACCAGCCACCAGCCAGCAGGTGGTGGGCATTGGCCAGCATTTGCCAGCATTGGCCGGAAGTCCGTCCGATGGGCCCTCCGGCCCTCCCTCCCGGGCACCCTCTGACGTCGGCGCGACCGATAGGCGGCGCAACTAACCGATAGGCGGCGCAAGCAACCGATAGGCGGCGCAAGCAACCGACAGGCGGCGCAACCAACCGATAGGCGGCGCAAGCAACCGATAGCCGGCGCAAGCGACCGACTGGCGGCACAAGCAACCGACCGATAGGCGGCGCAAGCAACCAACAGGCGGCGCAACCAACGACTGGCGGCGCAAACGACCGACAGGCGGCGCAAGCGACAGGCGTGAACGCACTCGACTTTCCGGCAGTGAGAAGCAGCAGCAATGACGAGCACGGAGAGTGGCATGCCTGGAGTGGCCGGAAAGCTGACGGTGGGTGTGGTAGCGGCACAGGGGCTGCTCATGACCGACCTGGTTGGCCCTCCGCAGGCGTACGCAGTGGTCAAGGCTGGCAATCCGCCGACCAAGCACAAGACGGCGACGGTCAAGGCCGGGAGCGCAGATCGGCCGGGCGCAGACACCATGTGGCGGTGGAAGGAGGAGTTCACCATCGAGTCAAACGCCTTTGAGGATCTGGTTGTCGAGCTGTGGGACAAGGACACCGCGTCTGCTGACGATCCGCTCGGCAACGTCCATCTTCCGGTCTTTGCCGGCATGGAGACCACCACGCGATGGTACCCGGTTGTTCCGCCCAATCCTGGCGCCTGCCACGACGCCGGCGAGATCTGCCTCCGCATCCACTTTGTGCCGGATGTCCCGCCGCCGTCCCAGCCTCAGATGCCGGCTCCCGGCCCACCGCCGCCGTTTACTCCGTCCCCGGCCCCGGCCCCGGCCCCGGCCCCGGCCCCGGCCCCGGCCCCGGCCCCGGCCCCGGGACCTGCGCCACCGTCGGCTTACCCAGAGCTTCCACCAATGACAATCCCCACACCTGCGCCGCCGCATGGCCCGCCGCCGCACGGCCCGCCGCCGGCGGCCGGCCCAATGCCGCCGCCGCCGACTTACGGCCACGGCCCACCACCGCCCAACTACGGTCACCCTGGCCACGGGCGCCAGCCGATCCATGGCGGCGGGCCAATGTACGGCGGGCCGATCTACAGCGGCCCGGGTGGTCAGTACGCTCCTGGCCATCCGCAGGGCGATGTCCGACGCCACGTTGCGCGCATGCAGCGGTACATGCGCATGGCGAACCAGTACGGACCGGCCCTTGGTGCTCCGCGTCCGATTGTCACCAAGTCCAAGTCCAAGTCCAAGTCCAAGTCCAAGTCCAAGTCCGTCGGAGCTGACCTGCAGCAGTGCACGTCCGCTGACCGCCCCCGTTTGCTCTGATGCCGCCACGCGCTCAAACCCACACCACACCGCACCACATAGATTTTGAAGAGATATTAAAGAGTGTGCATGTGTCTGTATCCATGTGTGCGTGCATGTGCGTGTGCGTGCGTGTGCGTGGTGATGTGTGTATTTGGGCGATGGCGGGCGATGGGGCGTGCTTGGAAGGCAGGATCCGAGTGGAGGGGTG